GTGTCCGGGCAGTGCCAGTGACTCGGCGGGGCGTCAGTGTCAGTAGGGAGTCTGCGGGGGGCACTCACCGAAGGGGGCTCTGTCCGTGCCGGGAGAGCGAGAGGTGGTGTGGAAGCAGACGGTGGCGTTGAGGCAGGCGGACTCTCTCACCCCCCGCTGGCAGTTCTTGTGGATGACGTTGATGGAGTGGGGCTGGAAGGACAGCGTGACGTTGATCTGCACTATGCTGCGCGAACTGAGGGAGACAGCGGGCAGAGGAGCAGGACTTACTACCGCTCCTGTGGGAAGTGAACCAGCGGTGGCCATGCTGCCGCCTCAGCAGGACCGGTCAGGTTGTGACTCTGACTCGTTACTCTGCTCTCTCGCGGTCAGGTGTGGTCAGGTGTGGTCAGGTGTGGACGAGTCTGTGACTCGTTAGTCTGCTCTCTAGCGGTCAGGTGTGGTCAGGTGTGGACAAGGCTGTGACTCGTTGCTCTGATCTCTTGCAGTCAGGGGTGGACAGGTGTGGACAGGTGTGGACAGGTGTGGGTGTGGACAAGGCTGTGACTCGTTCCTCTGCTCTCTCGTGGTCAGGTGTGGTCAGGTGTGGAAAAGGCTGTGACCCGTTGCTCTGATCTCTCGAGGTCAGGTGTGGTCAGGTGCGGTCAGGTGTGGACGAGGCTGTGACTCGTTGCTGTGCTCTCTCATGGTCAGGTGTGGACAGGTGTGGTCAGGTGCGGTCAGGTGCAGGTGTGGACCGGACGGTCCCCGCTCACCTCAGCAGCACCGCGCTGCCCTGCGCTCCCACCGCCAGGTCCAGCAGCTCGTCCCCGTCCAGGTCCAGCCGGCTGCTCACACTGCGGCCGAAGTACTGCAGCCCCGGAGACAGCGCCGAGCCCGGGATCCGCTGCGCGGAGAGGGAGACAGGGGCCAGTGAGCGGACAGGGCCATCCCCCCGCCCTGTAGGGGGAGCTGCTGCCCGGTCCGGCGCCGCCCCCTCACCTGTTTGTACTGCGGTACGATGGAGGTGCCGTAACCGTGGTAAATGTACACGGCGCCGCGGTGCCCATCCTCCAGAGGCGCGCCCACCAGCAGGTCGTTGTAGCCATCGTGGTTCAGGTCCGGCACCATGGCCATGGCGTACCCGAACCGGGCGTCCTGGGCCTTCCTGTGGGCCTGCAGGGTGCCGTTCGGGGTGAACAGGACCTGGAGGCAGGGCAGAGCCAGCGGGCAGGGGGGTCATTTCCACAGAGCCCCTTCCTCCCCCTCGCTACCTCTCCTCTTCCTCTCCCCCCGTCTCACCCTGCTCAGAGTGTACACGTAGACCCGGCCGGCCTCCTTGTTCCCGGACCCCAGGTACATGGGCGCAGCCACCAGCAGCACATCTGTGACCCCGTCTCTGTTCACGTCCACCGGACACACCTCGCTGCCGAAGTACGAGCCGATCTGGGACACAGACACCTTGTTATACAGCGTATAC